TCCGCTTCCTGGGTTCAGGCAATTCTCCTGCCTCAGCCTCCTGAGTTGCTGGGATTACAGGCACATGCCACCATGCCCAGCTAATTTTTTGTAGTTTTAGTAGAGACGGGGTTTCATCATGTTGACCAGGATGGTCTCGATCTCTTGACCTCGTGATCCACCCGCCTCGGCCTCCCACAGTGCTGGGATTACAGGCTTGAGCCACCGCGCCCGGCCCCTTTCATTCTTTTTCTTACCAGATGCTCCACATCAAGAAGCAGAGTGTCCTGAGCGTGGCAGCAGAAGGAGTGAATGTGTGTCGCCATGGGAAACTGTGCTGGCTGCAGGTAAAAGACTTCTGAAAACTTTTTATTTTGAAGTAATTATAGAGCCACTGGTAGTTTTTTTTTTTCTTTCTTTTTGAAAATTACATTTTAGAGATAGGGTCTCACTCTGTCACCCAGGCCACAGTGCAGATCATAGTTCACTGCAGCATTGAACTTCTGGGCTCATGCTGTCTATCCTCTCACTTCAGCCTCCTGAGTAGCTGGGACTACAGATAAGTGTCACCACACCGAGCTTTGTTTTTCTGAGATGGGCTCTTGCTGTGTTACCCAGGCTGATCTCAAACTCCTGGCCTCATGTAATCCTCTTGCCTTAGTCCCCCTAGTCACTGGGACTACAGGGATAGGTCACTGTACCTGGCTCACTGTTAGATCTATGAATTGTCTTCTTTCTGCCACCCTAGTGTCATTGTTACGTAACTTGTTGGAATGGTCTTCCTTCTCCTGGTACCCAACTTATTCTTTTCAAAAGGAAAGAACTTCTGTCTCCTTAAAGATTCACTTTTTTTTTTTTAAAGCTCAGTGGCAAGAATAGGTTCACTGTTACAGCCATCAGTGCTGTCTCAGGCTCTGCTGGAGGTCTTTCCCAGCTCTGTCCTATCACCTTAGTTCTATGAAGAGTGTCTCCTCTTTTGTAGGGTGGTAGTTTTCCACAGTAGGTTTCTCACATCATTTTAGTTTCCCTGGACCTGGGAGATGTCAGATGAGAGTCTTCATTATATTAACATTATTATTATTATTATTTTGAGACAGAGTCTTGCTCTGTCACCCAGTCTGGGGTGTAATGGTGCGATCTCGGCTTACTGCAACCTCTGCTTCTTGGGTTCAAGCAATTCTCCTGCCTCAGCCTCCTGGGTAGCTGGGACTATAGGCACGTACCACCACACCTGGCTCATTTTTGTGTTTTTAGTAGAGATGGGGTTTTACTACGTTGGTCAGGCTGGTCTCAAACTCCTGACCTCAGGTGATCCGCCCACCTTTGCCTCCCAAAGTGCTGAGATTACAGGTGTAAGCCACCATGCCTGGATGATATTTTCTAAAAGTTTGTAGTTAGCCTTGAAGAACAGCTAGAGGATGGATAGCTTTTGGGTCCTTCTTCCTTTCCTTTTTTTTTTTTTTTTTT